GATTTTGAAAACTTCCAGAAGACTCCGGACACAACTAGCACCGCTGCTACATTGTCAGGATATTACTAAGCTAGTTATTAACCATGTGGATAGTATAGCTGCGGCAGGAAAGGCAACTAGGCTTTAAAATCGGGTGTCATCATTATCCACACAATATTGAATCTCAAATGCAATCACGGCGTTGGTGGGAGATCGAACCTCCCGCATCACCACAAGCCCATCGGAGCGACTCCGCAGCAAATCTCGTATCTCGCCCATGTTGAGGGGCGCCCCATTGGTGAGCTGCAGTAGGGAGAGATCGCTCAGACTGACCGCCGCTCGCGCCGCAGCGTCCATCGACCTTGTGACCGCCGACATCGGCAGAGTCAAAATGAGGCGCGCGTCTGAATTATTCCGCAACACCTCCACATGAGCCCTTAGCGCCTGAGCTACTCGCATGGTGATTTCAATCGCTGACGACTGTGGGGATGGGGATGCGATGGAGATAAGATAGACCGCGGCGTCGAGGACAGGTTGTGTTGCTGTTGATGGACGGGTGCCCCAATTGATGCGTTCACGTAGATGCAGAGGTATGCTCGCTAGTTTCAAGTTAGACATGCCATGATTATCGACACATGGTTGAGGACCGCCAGACTCGGTCTTCGGTTCTGTCTGCACGAGGAAACGGAGTGATGGAAATCGGGGAGCGAGGGCAATAACCAGTGAGGGTGACAGGGCACCCACCTACAAGAGGATGAGGTTAGTCACAAGGGGGATGCCACAATCGGGAGTGGGATGCGCACATGGACGACTGTTGCCATTCCCAAGCTTTGCCAGTCCATCCGAGTAAGCGTATCTTCCACGGCAGCATCCATGGCACTTGACACGTAGGAGAGGTAGGCACCCAGCTGTCGCTTCACCTTGGGTCGTTGTTGAAGACATACGGCAAAAGGAGAGTTACTTCCCACGGCGAGGTTCCATGCGGAATCTTCCGGCTGCTCTGAGGCCCCAGATCTGCGCGTCTGGGTCCCCATCGTTGACGCTGACGGAGCCAGAGTGTCCGACATGAAGAAAATGGCGTCCAGCAGGGCTGGTTGGGTCACAAACTGTTTCGACAGCACACTGTGTGCCACATGCCCCGGTGAAGGCTCACAAAGAAAGCCTATTGTAAATAGTGGCCGCACCAGTCGACGTAGCCGACATTCAGGGACTCCTGCAAGGTCTGCGACGTCTTCAAAGGGTACGGATTCATCCAGAGGGATACACGCTAGCACCTGGAACTCCCCCAGCCACCGCAAGCATGCCAAAAGCTGATTCTGTACAACACCATTAGCATCTTTCTGGGCGTATTTCATCATAGAGTGGGGGGGTGAGGGGAAGTATGCACATAGAGAGCCAACTGTCGGACAAAGTCGGCGGGCTGACCGGCGAGGGCGAATACTTGCGAGGCATTGGCAATCAGTGTTCGCTGGACGGGTCGGAGATGGTCAGGGAGCCCAGCTGAATATCCGCCAGAGTATCCGTCTCTCGCCAGGGTTCTCGCGGCGGTGGCAATTTCCTCGGCACAGATTTCTAGATCAGTCAAGGTCATGGCTGAGGATCGCTCGTGAACATGGCCTAGAGAGGGGGATATTGAGTGAAAAGCCCACCAGCGAATCTCCGTGCGGTGCAAGGAGAGTTCTTGAACTTTCCATGGGGTTTTAAAGTTGTTGAGATTACGGGTGATCTGGGCAGGTTCCGCATTTGACCCGTGTAGTCCTTCCCCCGTGTCAGGGAGTGCTGATCTGCAAGCCGGGCCCAATTACTGGCTCGTACGTTTATCTTTCGCAAGCCACCGGTAGCAAAGGCATGCATATCTCTGTCCCATTCTTAAAATAGCTTGGCTCGGTCACATCTCAACATCGCAGCGAAACGGGCCCAGGGTTCCTGGGAGCTCATGCGGGTGCTGCAGATCTAGCTTGCAGGAAACAAGTCTTTTGTGGGTTGTCATTCCGTTATCTTGAGCAGGACGCATGCATGCAGGTGGGCGGGCTGGGCTAACAGTATTGGTTGTTCTTGGTCTAATTCGTCAAAGGGAGCACGCAGTTCTCTGGTCACACGCATCAGCCTCGGTATAAACAAGGAAACGCAAAGCTAGACGATCCTGGGCTCAGTCAGAACCCCTCAGCTGGTGACGTGAGTGTACATTTAGACCTCAGGGCGAGGCAACGAAAAGGGCGGGCTACTCTCCCAGGGAAAGCCTTCACATTGTGTCTCTTCCTGCGTTCCATTGAAGATCATACTGATTTCCTTCCTCCGGACCTCCACGATGGTAGACCAGATCTCCCCCCGGGCATCGCCCGGACCGATGCGTTCCTCCCAGACTCGCCGCGCCCGAAAGCTCCGGGATAGCTGTACGAGTTGTGCCAGTTCTAAGGTGCGATGTACCAAAGAAAAGCCGGCCTGTGCTCGGTGTATCGAACGTGGTCTTGCCTGTCAATACATGGTCTCTAAGCGGATGGGCCGCAATCCGCGCGCTCCCAGTCCCCTTGAGCCAACTCGGCGGCCATCAGAGAGTCTTCCGTCCGCCGGGTCGGAACAGGGACATTCGGTCCATAATACGTATTCTACTCCTCATGTTCATTCTCATTCTCATCCGCAACCGCATCCACCACCTCCGCCTCAATCGGATCAACCACCACACGCTCTGCCCACCCCCAATGGTAGCGGTAGCGTCTCAGCCATCTTTTCCCATCAGAGCCCCCCGCTACCCTTGGAGGCCCAGGGGCTGGGGGGAGAGTTGTCTGGTCAGGAGCAAGGCACCCTGTCTTCGCTAACGGTCGATTCGGAATTTGGGGACTCTTTGCATTCCATCGATCACGGAAACCATGCCGATTTCTTGGCGGAGCCGACGGGGAGTCTTTTCGACGCCTTCTTGGAAGTGGGGACTCCCATGATCGACCCGTTCCTCGAGTCGGCACCAGTACCGCCGTTTGAAACGCGCTATTGCTGCTTTTCGCTGGCACTACAAACGCTGACCCACCTCTTCCCCCACGCCCCGCTGGGCTGTCAGCTACGGCTGACGGGTGGCGAGGATAGCTCGTGCAACCTGACGACGATCGACATGGTCCTCTCGGGGAACAAGAAGGCGACCGATGTGGTCCGGAACATCCTCGGGTGTTCGTGTGCGCAGGACGGCTACTTGCTGAGCATGGTTGTCCTTATCGTCCTCAAGGTGCTGGCGTGGTATGCTGCCGCAGCCGGCACTCAGTGCCCCTCGGCGGCGGTGGGTGGAAATAACAGCAGCGACAGCAGCGGTAGCAGCCGGAGCAGCAGCAGCAGTAGCAACACTCCCACCACCGTTTCCGAAGAGCGCGTGCTGCATGTACCTAGTCTGGTGGGCGGGCATTGTGTGGATGAGGAAGACCAGCCGCGAGTCGCGGCACAGCTCGTTCTGAGCGAACTGCACCGAGTCCAATCGCTGGTGAATCTATTGGCCAAGCGCCTGCAAGAAGGCGGAGACGACGCAGCAGGGATGCCGGCGCACCATCCAGCGTCCCCTTTCTCCCTCCTCGGGTTTAGTGGGCTCGAGGCGAATCTCCGCCACCGCTTGCGCGCCGTGTCCTCAAACATTATTAATTTCCTGCAGCAAGAATGAAGAAAGGGCCCACCCATCCATTGACCTTGGAATGACACCGGCATGATATCCGCCCCCTTGCTGACCCTCACCCCCTTGCATTTGGTGCTTTTGCGCTTTTTTGACAGCGGAGGGGGGAAAGGAAGCTGTGGCAACTGTCATCTCACCAGCATGTGTCTTTGTCATGGTTACATTGCATACACGACCGGCCGTGGAAGGGCGAGACTGGCCGATCGATCAACACACACTCCACGGACGACCAGGGATCGTGCAACTTTTACGAGGTCATCGCCCGAGTAGGTTTGGGTTCTGGATTCAGCCAGCCATCATCTTTGCTCCCCACGAGAGAGCCGGGTGGGGAGTCGTCGATGTTGATATTGGTGTTAGCGTTGGTGATGGTGACGGTGATGGTCGTGTTGTTGGGTGTGTGTTGTTGCTTGTTTGCCTGCCTCACAGGCCCTAAGCCCTGAAAAGGCCAGGATCAGGTGGGTCCGTCCGCTGTCATGATCAGCATTCCGGAACCCCTTGCAGTGGCTTCGATCGCGTCATTGCTTCTCGTGAAGTTTCCCTCTCGAATACTCCTGATCCAACAATTTGGAATAGTCTATATGATCTAGATGGTCTATTTATTACGTTTTCGTGGTAGTTACAGACATTTTAGTTGTCAATCACCGCGTGAGAAAGAATGATATATTGTTCGCCATGGTGGACGGATCCGAGTTGAGAATTCATAATACGGCACAATAGTACGCAGTACGACATGTAATTCTGAAATGAGATAGCTATACTGGTTTCAATTATAAAGTGGATTCCAACGATCCACTTTATTCTCGTATGAGCAGTCTCAGTCCCTAGCATGATCAGATGCACGAGGGTGGTCTCGGACTCCGGTGGTAGACCCAGTCGGAAAGCGAAGAGTCGACGAGCAGAAAGTACGAGACTCGGCTACGCCCGACACTCGAGGATCCACCTGTCCAGGAGAGAGGTCGTCCATTTGTCGATCATCGTGAATGTTGGTATGCTTATCTGGCGTCATGGTTGCCAAGCTTCAGCTGCGATGTACGTGTCCTTGCCGACCCGCTAGGAAAGCCTGCAAGCTATCGAGAAATCCTCATCGACGTCGACGCGGCGATCGTCCAATGGGATCGCGTCATCGTGGCCAACAAGACCAGAACAGAGCCTAAGCAATCCAATGATGACCCTAATGCGGGTCTGATTTTGGATTCGCGCGACATTCGAGATGGTTCATGTACAATGAGTCACTAAACAACAACATGATAGCTTAAATAAATCGCAGTGGTTTCCATCGGGCAAAGCGTTGGGTTTCAACAGTTGGATAAACAGGTGGTGATCTAGTAAAAAACAAAAGCAACACAGGAACCAGAATAAAGACCAATACCAGAGTAAACCCACGCAGGCAGACGGTCAAGCCATTTGTTGAAGTAGAGAATGAAGTCGGGGACTACCAGTGATGTCGTGCACCAGCTGAACGTAAGACTTGTCGACAGAGAAAGGCTGGCCAACGACATTGGGGATCCAGCGTCCCACCAATTCGCACGGCTTTACATCCGCCACCCGGATGCGCTCAGACAGATATTCACGATAAGGCTCAATCTCCCCTCGTAACAGGGTCGAATGGTAGGGGATGTCGATCCCCGGGAGTGGAATCGTTGCTCGACCCCGTTCCATGCGATCCTCGCGAGACACCCGCTCCACCGTCGGGACGTGTTTCCACACCATGGCCCGTAGCTCTTGGTTCTCAATCGCTTCCGGTCGAGGGTGGCAGGAAAGGTCATCACATAGCTTACCCAGCGTCCAAAGGGCTCGGAACTGCGGTCGGGCGAGGGAAACATGGTCAGTGAGAAGGAGCGGAAATGAAAGGATGAGGGCAGGGAGGATCAGAAATCACCCACATGACCTGCACAGACGTATTGCTGCGAGTAAATGTTGTAGTTCACGACTTCCACGAACCAGCCGGTCTCCTGGTGAATGATATGGACAAGGCCTTTCAGACTGGCCTCCTCGAAACCTGCACCCATGTTAGACCGAGCAACAAAGAGAGGAAGATAGATATCACCTTTTCCGATCCGCGATGGATCGGCCGCCAACATACCATAGTCGGTGTGGCCGTTGGCGTCGCGCGGGAGCGCATTCTGCATCTTCAAGCCCCGGTAAAAAATGAGAGAGATGAGGTCTTCAAATGAGAGGAAGGAGGCACAGGCGCCAAGGGCTGCATATTCTCCCAACGAATGTCCCGCGAACCGCGCACCCTTCTGAATGACACCCTGGGCTTTGAGCCATTCAAACTGAGCCATTTCCATCAGCGCTAAGGCAGGCTGAGCGAACTGGGTGGACATCAACAGCCCCTGGGAATAGGAGAAGGTGTACGAGGTCGAATTCGCCGCCAACCCCTTCAGGATCGGCGGATGTTGACCATCGTTCGGTGACTGTCCCATCAAACGCAGATAGTTGGCACGGACACGGCGCCCTCGCGGGCCGCCAAAGTGAACAGTGAGGGTCAAAGGATTGTGTTGCACTATGTGCAAGATAGAGAAGCCTGAAAAAGTTTAGTACGAGCTACACACGTTGGGATCGCAAATTCCATACCATAGTTCTCCCACAAATGCGTGTCAGCGCGGGTCCACAACGCTTTAGCCTCCGCACAGTTGCTGTACAGTTCCATGCCCATCCCCTGTTGTTGACTGCCCTGGCCGCAGAAGACATATGCCGTCGTCTCCTGCTCGACATGGGCATCTGCCTCCGCTACACGTTCTTCCGTCCTTTCGTTGAATGCTTGCACTTTCAAAACCATATCCCCGTCCTCCATGGCCCTATGCTGCAGCTCGACCCGCAGAGGGTCGTTGGGGTGGATGGGTGCTTGCAATGTGATACGCCAGCTCCGGAACCGAGATCGGTCTGCATCTCCCACGGCCCATTCGGCAATTCTGCGCATCATGGCAGAGGTTTCCATACCATGGACAATGGGGCCCGACAGGCCGGCGTATCGCGCAAAGGCCGGGCACACATGGATGGGATTATGATCCAGGGAGACACGCGCATAGGATTGGCTGCGTCGAGGGGCTTGTACGGCCACAGTCGAGGTGCCCGTCCACCCAGGATGTTCAAGCTCCAGCAGCTGCGCCCGAGGCGCACCGTGGCGGTGCAGGAAGTCCATCACGACGTTTCCTATACAAGACTCACTTTCGAAGTATACGCGACCAAATGGTGTCGTTGATCCATCAGGGCTGTAAGTGAACACGAAACCGGTTACCTGTAACAGTGCTAGCTGACCGTTCGGCTGGAACAGTTTTTCGCTCTTTAATCTGAAGAGGAGCTGCTTCCCTAGCAGATCTACCGCGCGATCTTCTCGCATGAGCCACTTGCGGCTGTGTAAAATTGCACGGCGCACTTCAGAGTCGACATGGACAACCATTTCAGGCTCCTCCGTAAGTTCGAAAGGGGTTTCACATGCCGGAACGGTGCCTCCCACAAAGAAGTCTGATTTGACGGTGACAACATGTTGTCCTTGGCGTTGAATGTCCGCCGACACCGTCAACATAGTTCCCCTAGGCTTCACCGCGACCGCGAGGATACGGGATGAGGTTTTGACGATATCGCCCACCCGCAATGGTTTGACGGATGGAGCATAGTGGAAGCTGATAGCGCTGTGCAGCAGGTCTAGGAAGTCGCATTTCAAAGCGGAGACCATCAGAGGCTTGGTAAGAGCAGACCAGGCGATGACCACACAGTAGTCGATAGGTACACATCCTTGGGGGTTCCATGACTGCAGCTGAAGGGGACTGGTTTGCCGCAATACCCTCTCGAAATCGCGAATCTTGTCCGTTGTGATCACCAGTTCTTCTCCCGTAAATTGCGAATTCAGACCCAAAAGAGAACCCTTGTTCGGGGGGCCCAAGTTCCACAGACTCATGTACAAAGCCTTGATCCTCTCTGCCCGACCAAACGTATCCTCCTCAAGCGTCCACTCCTTCGGCTTCTGGTCGACCTTGAAGCAAAAGGCGACGGTGGGCTCGGGGTTGAATGGAACATTGGGGGCCAAGGTGGTGAACACTCTTTTTCCATCATCAGAGACGATCTCAAATACAACCTGAGAAGGGGACCCACCATCCCCCGTGGGTGAAATCAGTCGAATCTTGCGAATCTCCGAGTCTTCGGTGTAAAGCACCTCGATGGTGTCGCCACGCTGGGCTTGGAGTGCAGCGCGAATGGGGTTAGGCAGACGAGAACCGTCCCTAGAGACCGACTTGCTCATCAAACATGTCCGAGCCCACGACCTCGACAGTCCGACCATGTGCTCAAAAAGAACGTCCATTTCGGGGACGGTTCCCACTTTCTTCAACTTATAGAGCCCTCGAACCCTATTTGTCGTTACTCTGAGCCCAGGAAACGCGCTGAGGGGGCTGTTTTGCGTGTTCGAGTGTCCATCGCCGATAGAATTTTGTCTTGAATCAGCTTGTAGAGCACCCACGTAATGATTACAAATCTTGTCTAAGATGTCTTTGACGGACTCATTGTCGGATCTTGAGTACTGAGCGGCCATGGGCCCTTGAATGATGAGGGTTCGGTGGGCGTCCTGTCCTATCACCGCTTCTACATCTTCGGATTGCCACAATGAGTCTTTTTTAAACCAGGTCTCGAAACGCTCATCCAACCTGGGGATGAACGGGACCGGCTTGATGTCACGTCGGCTGAACAATTGCATAAGAAGAGAGATATCTTCTGGATACAGCGTGCGGTATGCTTTATCCTTCATGCTCTCTTCCACCCGGGCGATGATGTCGAGTGGATGTTCGCCGGGGTTGTCAATAGCGCATTGGAATCGCTCTCGAAGCAGATGAACGAAGTCCAATACTAACACCCGATATGATAGATCTACCCATCGCTTCTGGTGAGAAACATACGTGAGATCGCACAGACGGCGGAGGACCTCGAGGTAGGTCATATCCTCCAGCTCCACATTCTGTCCGTGTCCGTCAACAGCAAACCAGGGGCGGGCAAAG